AATAAGCATAGGTTTCGCTTTTGTTTATGGACCAACAATGAGCTTTTTGAACAACACGGAATGAGAGATAAATAAATAAAACGCAAAAAAAAAAGTTTTGCATGAAATAATTCTCATACTAAGTACTTTTGCATGCACAGCAGCACAGAAACATGACAAAACAGTGACACAGCAAAGATGAACTGCTGCTCTTGCTGTTTTCAAAAGACGCAAATGAAGGTCCAGCTGTTTGTCTGCATTGCAGACAACCATATCCAAATCCATATCCACAGACAACCATATCCATGCTGGCACATAAAACCTAAGGATGTTCCATATTGAATCTAGTTTCGTTATGTAACTATTTATAGTATAGTAAATATTTATATCTATTTTTTACTGAGGACTTTATAGCACCATGTTTATTTGGACTTTGACACATTATTTATTATTTTCTTATTTTTTTATTTGTTCATTGTAAGTGGTGTTGTTTATAGTAACTGAAAATATATTATTTGGAAAAAGTCAAATTTGCTTCACTGTTCTATTATTTTGTAACATTTGTAACATACCGTATACCGCGAAACCATCAAACCGTGGTATTGTTTTAGACGATTATCATACCGTAAAAAATTCATACCGTTACAACCCTAATACCAACACAGACCTGCGTTTCAAGCAGGTCACCACCCACAGCGATGTGCAACTAAAAAGTCACTGCTAGTGTGAATGAGGCGTAAGGAAGACGTTAAGATTTTTTTCAAAAGATCAATTCTAGGAAGAATGTTTCCAAATCAGAATTCTTGAAAGCTTTAGTTAAAATAAAGTCAACTCTGAGCAGAAAAAGAACGGCTCTTTTATTGTCCAATCAAATGAAAGAGGAGGTGGTGTTTCCATTAAGGCGACAGCAGTGTTTATGTTGTCAAGATGACTTTAGAGACTTTAAAAGATGGAGGAGAGACTTGTGATTGCTGTTTAGAGTTATCCGGAGCTGTATGACTTCACAAATCTTGAATATTGTTTATGTTGTCAAGATGACTATAGAATATTGTTTATGTTGTCAAGATGACTATAGAATATTGTTTATGTTGTTAAGATGACTATAGAATATTGTTTATGTTGTCAAGATGACTATAGAGACTTTAAAAGATGGAGGAGAGGCTTGTGGTTGCTGTTTAGAGTTATCCAGAGCTGCATGACTTCACAAATCTTGAATATTACAATAGTAATAAATATTACAATAATAACAATATTAACAGCAGCATTCGCACACAATACCAGCTGATTTCAGTGGTTGTCTAGTGACATAAAAAGCACAGCACACTTCATTTTTTCTCTTGTCAACAAAAAAGCTTAATCGTTGTGATTGGCCCAATAAAATGAGCTTGAAGAACTTTACTTTTTTACTATTTAGAAGGCAAAAATTTTTTTGTTTTTTTTATTGTATGACTATTCTTGCTAAATATTTGCTGATCAAATCAAATATGCTTCACTAAGACAGAAAATTAATCATAAAAACTTCAAAAATCAACCCCCTATTTCACATATGTAGAAAATGATAATCATTTATTTACCCATAACTCCAAACAGCAAATGTCTGACAGAGAGTGTCCTTTTTCTGTTAAACACAAAAGAAGATATCTTGAAGAATGTTGAAAAATCAGGAGCCACTCCCATGCATAGTAGAGAAGAATACCATACAATGGAAGTCAATGGCTGTCGGTTTTCAACATTCTTCAAAATATCTTCCTTTGTGTTCAACAGAAAAACAAAACACAGAGGTTTGGATCCAATTGAAGACGAGTAAATTTAAATTTTCTTTCAAATGTATAAATGCTTAGTGCAGCGTGGTGGCTCAGTGGTTGGAACTGTTGCCTCACAGCAAAAAAGGTTGCTGGTTCGAGCCTCGGCTGAGTCAGTTAATTTTTTTTGTGTGGAGTTTGCATGTTCTCCCCGTGTTGGTGTGGGTTTTCTCCGTGTGCTCCAGTTTCTTTCACAGTCCAAAGACATGCGCTATAGGTGAATTGGGTAAGCTAAACTGGCCATAGTGTAGGTGTTTCCCAGTACTGGATTGTGGCTGGAAGGACATCCGCTGTGTAAAACATAAATGCTGAAGGAAAATAAATGAATGAAGGTTTAAAGTTCATTAGTACTCACAAACAGTAGTAAAGACAGCCAATGTTATACTGTGATGAATTAAAGAAGGTTTTCCTAACTTTAGATGCAATAGCAACAAACAAGTTCTTCAGGTTTTAATGGATTAGCTTGTTTATCTTTGTTGCCACTGGTCCATGTTTGTTAATCACCAATAAAACATGTTTCTTTGGCATTATTGGCTCATAAAATATATGAGAAGTGTCGTACAGTAATCTAATGACAGTCAATTTGGGCCGGTGTCTGTCATTGAATAGTTAAGTACACATTTATTATCAACAAAGTAATCAATTCTAAATTAAATACGAGCATAAACACATTAGCTTTACAAAACAAGAAATCAGAAAGCGACGAGCTACCAGGTAAACTAAACCAACTGTTTTGGTTGGACTGATCCTGACAGGTGCAGTGCATACTGGGAAATGGATCATCTCTAGCAGTAGTGTTAACAGCTTAGCCATCTGGGAGAGTGGCATGTGCCTCCTGCGTGAACATAACCTGCTATATCCACTAAACAAGATGCAAAGCGCCTGCTGATATCACAGTTTACCAGAAAACAAAACGATATGTCATTAAACCCGGTAGAACTATCAGGAGTACAGAAGAGACATGACTTACAGCCAGTAATGCACAATAAAGAATTCTTCTTTACGCCTGTACTTATCTTCCAAGAAACTATATTTTATCAGAGTGGTTTTATTTCGTTAAAACACGTCATTGCTTGTTATTTTGAACTGGAAAAATTCTCACCCTCTCTGAGAAGCGATAGAAGCACCTGATAAGTAAATAGACTGATTCTTTTGATGTTATCTGAAAAATAAAAATTCACTGAATCAAATTATTTGATCAGAGCGAGTCTGTAATTAACGACTCACTGATTCAAATGAACTGATAAGAGAGTCCTTTGATCTGATCAGAGCGAGTCTCCATTTAATGATTCACTGATTCAAATGATCTGATCAGAGTGAGTTTAGAGGAAAAACCAACAAATTCAATTGATACGATAAGAGTGAGTCTCCAAATAATGATTAACTGATTCAAATGATCTGATCAGAGTGAGTCTTCAGTTAAAAACTCACTAATTCAAACGATCCGATCAAGTCTCTAATCAACACTTCACTGATTTAAATGATCCAATCAGAGTGAGTCTCCAATTAACAATTCACCAATTCAAATGATCAGATCAGAGCAAGCTTCCAATTAACGATTCACTGATTCAAATAATCTGATAAGAGCGAGTCTTTAGTGAAAACCTAATTCCAATAATCAGATCATAACAAGTCTCAGATTAATTATTTACGAATTCAAATTATTTAATCAGAGAGTCTTTAGTTAAAAAAATATTTCAATCAGAGCAAGTATCTGATTAACAATTAATTGATTCAAATGATCCAATCAGAGCGAGTCTCCAATTAAAGATTCACCTATTCAAATTAATTGATCAGGGAGAGTCTTTAATTAAAAACTCACTACTTCAAATGATCCAATCAGAGCAAGTATCCAATTAACAAATCACTGATTCAGATCAGAGCAAGCTTCCAATTAACGATTCACTGATTCAAATAATCTGATCAGAGCAAGTCTTCAGTGAAAACCTATTTCCAACGATCTAATCAGAGCGAGTCTCCAATTACAAATCATTGATTCAAATGATCTGATCAGAGCGAGTCTTTAGTTAAAAACTTACTAATTTAAATGATCCGATCATAGCGAGTCTCCAATTAACAATTCATTAATTCAAATGATCTGATCAGAGTGAGTCTTTAGTGAAAACCTGATTCCAACGATCCGATTTGAACGAGTCTCCGATTAATGATTCACTGATTCAAATGATCTGATCAGAGCGAGCCTCTAATTAAAGATTCAATGATTCAAATAATCTGATCAAAGTGAGCTATTAGTTAAAAACTCATTGATACAATTGATCCGATCAGAGGAAGTCTCCAATTAATGATTCACTGATTAAAATGATCTGATGAGAGTGAGTTTTTAGAGAAAAACTAATTCAAATGATCTGATCAGAGCAAGTCTCTGTTTGACAAATTCACTGATTGAAATTATCCTGTCAGAACAAGTCTCCAACTAACAACTGAATTCAGAAGTCTGGCTAAAAATTAAGCAGAGCTAGTCTCTAGTTGATTCACTGATTCAAATGATCCAAAAAAGCAAGTGTCTAGTTAACGACTTACTGATTCAACTAAACCAATCAGAGTAAGTTGCCAATTAACGATTTACTAATTCAAAATACATGCTCCAGTTTATGATTCACTGATTTGAATGAACCCATCAGTGCGAGTCTCCAGTGAACGATTCACCAAATTCAAACGATTCAATCAGAGTAAGTCTTCAGTTAACAATTCACAAGTCTGACTCAAAATGAACCAATAAAGGGAGTTCGTCAAGCTTGAGTTAGGACACGACCAATGGTCAACAATGCAGAACTTTAACATTTTTAGACATTTAAATCATACTTAAAGGAGTTCTTCACTTCCAGAATGAATCGGCCAAAATTGACTCACTGTCCACGTGAGTTTCCTACATTTGATTAGCACTAAAGAAGGTATTTTGAAAATGTTGGTTTCTGAACAGTTGATAATCACAACTGACTTCAATTGTAAGGAAAAAATATGATGGAAGTCAAGGATGACCAACTACTGACAGTGGAAGACAGTGACGACCAAACATTCTGGAAGCGAATTTGTAAAGCATTTCCCACTGTGTGACATAATAGTGTATGTTTATATAGCTTGTAACAGTAAAAGCAGCTGAGCTACGGCCCCCAGTAATAAATGCAATGTAGTCAGGTAGCACCGTTTAGTTAGTTACTCTCCAACAGTGTTTGTAAGTCCATTAAAGTCTCCACTGACCTTTGAGATGAGCTCATCGTGATTGGCGAGATGTGCCCGGCAGTGGATACAGCTGTAGGTTCGGTGACAGTTGGGCAGGTAAGCCTGGAAGGTTTTGGACTTTGTCATTTTCACCATCTCACAGTCGTGGTGCTCCTCGCTGGGTTCCTCCGGGCTGGCGCTGGACGAGTTGCAGCTCTGCTGAACTTGCTGACAGAAGAAACACTGGAAGATGCAAGCAAAAGCCGTCGTTGTTGTGGAGTGGATGTGTGGCACGCTCCACACAGACACCACAGGAGAAAATACGACCTAAAGAGATTGAAAGAAATAATGAAGACATGTCACTATTTATTAGCTCTTTACCAAACTATAAGGGCCCTATCATACACCCGGCGCAGTGTGACGCAAGGCGCGGCGCAGTAGTCTTTTGGTAGTTTCAGCTTGGCGCAAGAGTCGTTTTGAGGCGTTGCACTACGCTGTTTAAATAGCAAATGCATTAGCGCTCATTTTTGCGTTCTGGTCTAAAAAGGAAGGTGTTCTGAGGTGGACTGCTGGCGTGTTGCTATTTTGAGAATCTATAATAGATTTTTCATTAGACCAAAACAAACCCGGTCTAAACTCCGGCGCAGGGTTGCGCCTCGCTTACGCACTGCTTAATACACACAAGAGAGCAATAGGCAAATATCTTTACATATTAAAAAAATTAAATATTAAGGATATGTATAGTATATTATAAGAATATATATATATAGGATATAAATATAAAGGATTAAAATATTACAAAACATATTATTTTCTAGCCTACATAAATATGAAAAACCACTGCTTTTATGTCTTCTTCATCTCGGGAGGCTTTTTCAGTTCATTCATAACAATTTGCTTTTGTATAATGTTATTATTATTAGCAGTATTATTTATTATATCCATATTTATATTTGTTTTATTAAAACAAGCTTAGATTTGCCCACCTGTCAGGTTTTAGACCATATGGGGCACAGCATGTGTTTTAGGATATAACTCAGGTTTTTGAGCACATTTTGTAATTATTATTCATTTATTCGTTTGCTGGAAATTAGAACTGAATTTAGAAATAGTTTTGAAACGAATATTTGCACTTAACAAACAAAAGTATTTATTTATAGACTAATGGATGTCTGTTTGTAAAGGTTTCCCTATCCAAGAGCGAAAGTGATCCATTATCTCTCATTCTCACGCAGTAGATGCTCTGTTTAACAGTTTTCTGTTTTAAAAAACTGTTAACTGTTTGCTTGTGAAATGCTCAGTTTTTCCACTTAGACTTACTTTGCGTCCTGTAAATAGCGAATGCGATCTTGGCGCGACGCAGCTGGGTCTTAAAGGGAATGGGAGATGAGATTCTAATTGGTTTATTCTCAAAACACACCTATAACTCATTAAGAAAATAAACTCAACCCTTTTAGACCATGCGCCGTGGCGCAAGGCAGATTTCCCGTCCTTAAATAAGCAAAAACGCGTCCTGGCACGCCCTGAAAGCGTTTGCGCCCTGCGTTTGGCACTCTGCGCATGGACCGTCAAAATAGAGCCCTAAGTTTTCAAACTATAAAAGAGATTCAAAAGCACCAGCGATATTCAATAAATCAATATATTGTGATATTGAACATGAACAATATTAATATTGTGGGCTTTTCAAAATATTGTGATTTTTTTTTGGTACTTAATAGAAAGTTTTTGTTCTAAGAATATTCACATTGTATTTGCAGTGGTGTTAATAACAACACTCGATGCTTAGAGACACTAGACAAACATGAACATTCTTACATGTTAATCTGGCCTACTACTACAAGCTGAAATACTGATTATTAATTTATAGGGATTTTGTATATTAACACTGTGCAGTAAGGCTCCAATAGTTTTAAAGAGCCCATATTATACATGAAATAAGGTCATATCTTGGTTGTAAGGGTCTCCAACAACAGTTTAATATGCATGCAAGGTCAAAAAACACTTTCATGGTCTTATAATCTGCATTTATTTTTATCTAATTATCCCAGCGACTCCTGTATGAATCGTCCAGTGATTCATTTGTTCCCAAACCCCTCCTTAGCGCGGAGCTAATCTGCGCTGATTGGACCGATGACAGTCTGTCGCGATTGGTCGACTGCCTTCAGTCAGAGAGGGAAATGGCCAATAGCTAATCAGCAATTTAAAAAGTAATCACAGTTCATACACGCTCGATAGTGTAGGCGTGGAGTTTAGCTGCCACACTATGGCGAGTGGATAGTGCCACGGATAACCGAACGAAGGAGACAGTCGTGTACTCGCCATACCACACACACACAAAAACACACACACACCTCCGGATGACAACGCTCCCGCTTCCGCCCGCACCCGCCAGGTTTTAGCCTGAGAACCCGCTCCGTTTTCTGCCCGCCGCGCCCGGTCCCGCTAGAGCGGAGAACACAACCAAATATCACCCAGTATACAGTCCAGACAGCCAAGCTGTCTGTAAACACATACACACAGCACAAAGTACACAAAGCTCGTTCGTTCGTTCGCTCTCTCTCTCGCTCTCTCTCTCTCTCTCCCCGCGCCAGATTTCTGCGGCGCGGGAATACATTTCCGAATAAATCGCGGGAGCAGAACTCTAGCACGGAGCTCCATAAACAAACAGCACGCGTCGCGTTTTTAACGTGACTTTGCACGCGATAAGATAATATATCCAGTTAACCTGATACAGTACACGCGGTTACAAGTAACAAATCACAACTAAATACATTTGCAAGCTAGAGTCAACGAGGCAACAACTTTAACCGCACGTACTTACACTTGAGAAATGTAGGAAGAAACCCATCCTGACGTCCAGCAGTTACTCTTTACTGATCCTTCCTTTAACAAACTCAGATGAAGTATTCTTTGTAGCATGTAGCTTCCAGAAGTTTCCAACTGCTTGGTTATAATGCTGATGTTTCATCTTTGGGTAGAGACTCAATATATCCATCTGCAGTGTGACTTCAATCGACCGGCATGTTTGTGTGCGTGTGTTTGTGGGTGTGCGTGTGTTTGTGGGTGTGTGTGTGTGTGTGTCTGGGTTACTGCGTCAGAGGGCGGGGCCTCAGGTTTGAAATCTCCCGGGTTTGCGCGTGCACGTGAAAAACTTTGTTTCGTTCGTACGTCATGGCGAAACACCTAATGAGTCGGTATCAAGGCGACTCGTTTGAAGCACTATGATTCGACTCTTTTATAGATGAATCAACAGTTTTAAACACTGTATTCTTACAGATTTAAGCCTTAGCTGGATACTTCACTTCACTTAGAGCTGTGTTACACACTACATGGAGGGGAATTTTCAAAAACCCATAATATGGGCTCTTTAAAGCTCCAAAACTTAATTTGACTAAACTCAATGAAAACTACAAAAGTTTGTATTGCATTCCTGGATCAAAACAAACGCAAGCGCAGGTTGCCTGATTGAGGACTAACAAGGCTGATTTAAACCATGTTTTAAATAAAAGGCGCGCGATAGAAGAAATATTTTTTTAATTAAAAAGGAATTTTTGTTCTAACCAACATCCTGGAATTGATATATTAGAAATGACCTCTAGTTCTTGCAGCTGAACAACAAAAAATTGACAGTAGTCACCCCACCTCATGTGCTTTATTCAGCATTAAATGCTAACAATGCGTGCATTTGTGTCCTCTTAAACTGTATACCAAATGTTTTTTTGAACTCGCACCATAATTTGTTGCAATTTGTGCATTTTTGTTTTAATTGCGCCACTCCCTGCCCACCGCAGCAGCTATGAAAAAATCTCATAAGAGATGACGACAAGTCATCTGAATAATGTCTCGCTGAAACATTCAGGTACAATTATAAAACAGCATGGGCATCGCTTTTGCCCCCTATATTTCTTCTCAGCCCCCCCCTAAAACTTTTGCGATTACCTCATGAAATGTCCAATAAACTATTGCCTCAGTCCCCTTTAAAGTCAATCTCTGGGTCTGCTGGGGTCACTATTACCCAAGCATAAATCACTGAGCAGGATTAGACTATTAGCATCTTGCTTTAAAATAACCAAATTTTTGAAATACTTTTCCTTTTTTTAATGGATAGTAGGGTTGGGCCGATAGACAATGCCATCGTCCATCGCTGATGGCCGATAAACCTCACGATGCTGAGCCAACATTGCGATCCATCAACCCTGCCCTGCCCCACATTTTTATTGATATAACTAAATATTTGCATGTCATCTTAATAGCAATAACAGTATTTTCATGAGCTGTGTTAAATTTTACATATAGCTGCATATTAAACATATAGCTTTTTTACATCAGAAAGTTCACATAACAACTGTTTTAATCTGTTACTGTTTGGCGTTTTTAGGTGCAAGGACGCCTTCTGCAGAAATATCTCCAAAATCTGCGCACGCGGTGAGGATTTTGCCATGGAAACAGTGAAAATTTATGCACTGGCACAAATGTTTCCACATATATTTAAAGGTCGCATAGATAAACTTTCGGGCGCATATGTGACCAAAATGGTCGAGCCCTTGCATCTTTACTTGTTTTTATTTTCTCATAATAATAATAATAATAATAAAATAAGAAAATTATCATCAATCACAATAAAAATTACAGAAAACTTCAAACGAACTCTCGTCTCCTCCACCAGCTGTGGGAAAAAGCTATTATAACGACACAGATCACTGCCTATTCCTTCCTGCTGAAAAAAAAAAAGTGATTGACAGGTGGAAATTTGTGTGTAACTTTATTAATTTATGGTTTGGTTATGGGTAGAGCAAAGACCATGGTAGTCAGGTATAGTAAAAACAATAGGCTACAATTAATTAATTTGTTATGAATTAATTGATATTTAACAACCCCCACCTATGACGACGATGCCATCGTCCATCGCGATGTTTCACATTAGACATCGTACGAGGCCAAATTGGTCAACATCGCCCAACACTAATGGATAGTTCACCCAAAAAAAACGACAATTGTCATCATTTACTCAGACAAACTAGTTTGGAACACGTAAAGTTTTTTTTTGTTATTCTGTTAAAAGCTGGAAAGCCGTAACCATTGACTTCCGTAGCATTTGTGTTTTCTTCTGTGGAGGTCAATAGTTACAGGTAACTTATGTTGAATAAAAATATATAGTTAATGAATCAAAAAAACACTGACTTTGGTCTTTTCTTTGCCCACCTTTAAAATTTGGGTGGGGTGGGTAATAATACACCAACTTTTGTTAGGATTTCACCACTGGTTTGCAGTGCATCTCTATGGCATAACAACATTTTACACTGAAAGTTAATTTAAGATGGATCTTTTTACTCTTACGTTTCATTCAAGGTAAGCATCAGCTTTGGTGCTGCGTGAACCGTTTCTTCTTAGCATGGAAAATTAGTCCCTAAAATTATGAAAAATGCTTAGCATGAGCAAATGAGCAGCTGAGATGAGATAAAAGAGAAAGAAAACAATCATTTCCTCTTCACCCTTGACAGCTTAAGCCCGATCAGCCTGAGAGGCATTGTGTGACTGATGAAGTGTGAATAATAATGATTCTCCCTCCAGTGAATCCCACATATTTAACATTCACTCTTAGCCAAACAGGTTGTTTAAGCATGTCATAAATGAAAGCTACTTTGCCCTGTGCACCAAGAGGACCATGCTAAGCTTTATAGCCCCTGTGGGAAAATGTACCATCTATTGGACAGCTGTGTTCTAGGCATTGCAGTTTAGCAGACCAGACTGTCAACGTATTACAAAGCCAAACATAACACTTATTTACAGCATGTTACACTGTCAATATTAACTAGAAAAGTAATGTTCGTAGACAAACGTTATGGTGTCTTGAGAAAGCCTCATGTGAAAGTTTGAAGTAGTTTCAAAGTTTAAATAACTGAAGAAGTTTAAGAAGTTTAGAACAGTCGGCGTAGATACATAACTACATATAGAATAGCATGCTTCTAGTACCGATTGTCATGTTTCTTGCTAGGTTGTTGCTAGGATGTTCTAAGTGGTTGCCAATCCGTTGCTAGAGTGTTCTGTGTCGTTGGTAAGGTGTTAGGCGGTTGCTAGGGTATTCTGAATGGTTGCTAAGGCGCTGCTAGGGTGTTTTACGTTGTGGCTAAGGCATTGCTAGGCGGTTGCTAGGTTGTTTTGAGTGGTTGCTAAGGCATTATTAGGGTGGTTGCTAGGGTGTTCTAGGCGGTTGCTAGTGTGTTCTGAGTGGTTGCTAGGTGGTTGCCGATGTGTTGCTAGGGTGTTGAGTAGTTCCTAAAGTGTTGCTAGGCAGTTGCTAAGGTATTCTGAGTGGTTGCTAGGCAGTTGCTAAGGCACTGCTAGGCTGTTTTATGATCTGGCTAAGGTATTGCTAGGCGGTTGCTAGGTTGTTCTGAGTGGTTGCTTAGGCATTATTAGGGTGGTTGCTAGGGTGTTCTGAATGGTTACTAGGTGGTTGCCAATGTGTTGCTAGGGTGTTCTTAGTAGTTACTAAGGTGTTGCTAGGGTGGCTGCTAAGGCATTGCTAGGTGGTTGCTAAAGTGTTCCGAGTGATTGCTAGGCGGTTGCTGGGGTGTTCTAGGTGGTTGCCAAGGGCTTGCTAAGTGATTGTTAGGGTGTTCCAAGTAGTTGTTAAGGTGTAGGGTATTCTAAGTGGTTGCTAGGCGGTTGCTAAGGTGTTCTGAGTAATAGGTAAAACACTGCTAGGGTGTTTTATGTGTGGCTAAGGCGTTGCTAGGTGGTTGCTAGTGTGTTCTGGGGGGTTGCCAATGTGTTGCTAGGGTGTTCTGAGGGGTTGCTAAGGTGTTGCTGGGTGGCTACTAAGGTGTTCTGAGTGGTTGCTAGGGAGTTGCTCAAGCGTTGCTAAGGTCTACTGAGTGGTTACTAGGGTGTTTCTAGTGTGTTCTAGGTGGCTGCCAAAGCGTTGCTGTGTTTTATGTTGTTGCCAAGGTGTTCTAGGTGGTTGCTAAGTGGTCGCTAAGGGGCTTGGCAGTTGCTAACAAATTAGCATTGTACTAGTATGAATTAGTATGTTGCTAGCATGTTTCTAGCATAAATTATCATGTTGTTAGCATGGTTCTGGTATGAATTAGCATGTTGCTAGTATGTTTATAGTATGAATTAGCATGTTGCTAGTATGGATTGGTATCCTGTTAGTATGTCCAATGCAAAGTCAATGGCAGTTTTTTTACAACGGAAGTCTATGGGACAGTTGCTAGGGTGCCGTAAGTTGTTGCTAGGGGGTGGCTAGTAAGTTGTAAGGTCATCAGTGATTGGCAGATTAGTAGGCTGAGTTAAATTTGCCCAAACTTAAGTCTGTATGACAGTCTGACGCAAAGTTATGAGGTCACAAAACTTGATCCAATATTATGTCAATGGGACTTTTCTGAATTTACCGGGACCGTAAGTGGGATCAGTTGGAAAAGATATAGCAACCCGAGTCAGACCAGTTTAGAGGTTTGAAGTTACGTTTGGTGGGTGTAGTATTAAATATATACTACATATATATATATACTAGTCTTAGAAGAAGATTAGGTTTATGTAGTATAACAGTATGTTGACTTCATCAAGCCACCATGATGATTCACCAACAGCACTTTGTCTGATTTTCATGCAACAATGTTACATGAATATGGTTATCAAAGTACCATGATTGCCATGATAAAATATAATTGTAGGCTTCGTTATTTGAAGAGGAGGATACACTTTGAAAGATGATTATGAGAAATTTTCACTCTTGAACATGAATGCTGTTCAAGTACTGGCCAATTTTAACTAGTGCCTTTTATATCTCTCATCTCTTTTGGGCTTTCATCATTCCCTAGTTCACATGCTGTTCGCACAGACAATCAGAAAATAACAGGAAACTCCGAATAATGCGCTAATGAGAGGGCAACAACACTGCATGCAAAAGAAAAACACAGACACTTCCGCAATAGCACAGGAAGCTCCAACCATGCCGACCAACAAAACGCGCGAGCTCCGAGCCGTGGTTGCCAGATCACGCTAAAACAAGCAACACGCACTCGCTTGCCTAACCAAAATAAGTCTGAAGAAACAACCCCATGTTGTTTGTTTTCCATAAAACAAACATTAAAAATTGCTATTACACATTGATGCCAAATATATTTTCACCAATCAATCATCAGTCAGACTATATGAGGGACATATAAACACCAGATGAATGAGGAAGTGAGCTACTGTTTAATAATTACATAATACAAAGCGGTTCACACAGCAGGACGGGATGATTACGCTTGCCTTCTATCGTTTTCGTTGTGATATGAAAAGCAAGCACATAACAGTCTGCAATATGTGAATATGTGCATTAAGCCACTGAAAACAAGCCATAATTGAACGACTTCATGTAAATCAAAATCAGGGGTGTCCAAACTTAGTCCTAGAGGGCCGCCTGCAGCTTTCTACCTTGAAAGAGCTTAATTAGCTAGTTGAGGTGTGTTTAACTGAGATAGGAACTACAATATGCAGGATACTGGCCATCTAGAGTTTGGACACCCCTAACAAATAAACAGAAAGTCGCTTAAAAATAAATGTGATGGCAACATTATCGCGCGTTCACGAGAGCGACTCGCGAACTGCGCGATGTGGCACGCGTCTGAGTGGAATTAAAAACTTGTTTACCTGTAAACATTATAGCATTAGATGTCCAATATGTGAGTTTTCTTGCTTACAAATCTATAAGTATGTTAATATACGCACGGAAAGCTCGTTATAAGCGACGTCATTAGCAACATTTAATCTTACAACACAAATGTTATCGTAAAAAAGTCGAGGGTGGCTATATTTAACGTGTTTTCGCTAAGAGCACTGCATGAATACACTTATAATGCATGCCAAACGTGCTGCTATGAAGATAATTTAACTGTAAACCGCACAAATATACAAAAACAATTGACTACAGACACAGTGGGCAATGTGTCTATAACTGTTGATATTAAATATTTGTTTATAACTGTTCAATATGATCAGCAGCTGCTTAAATCAGCTGGAACAAAAAGACAAGCGTTGATGTCGTGAAATAAAACCCCGATCTAACTCAATCTAAAGGAAGTCAACAGCAGGCAAACAAAGGAGGCTCATGAGCGCGTGTTAACCTGAGAGGATAAGGCTAATCATGAGTATTATATGGCTTAAGAAAAACAATAATAGCTTTAGCAAATCTAGCCATTCAACAGCTCATATACACTATTTATTACGCTGCTTTCATTTGTTATTGTGCTGCAACATTTCCCTAATAAGCAGTCTGTTTTGTTTTAACATCCATGAAAAGTGACAAACAACTAAAAGGAGATGTTCATAAAAGCAATTCAACGCGTCAACAATGGGTCACCAGATACAAAAGGTGCAAATTGATTGTTGTCAGCGGGATCTTTAGAGAAAACAACAAAGAAACTGTGCGACCAACGTGGATACAAAACAAAGGCTCGTGCTTTTGTGACAAAACCAGGAAGCGCAGAGTGATACAGAGACAGAAATCGAGCCCTGATACCTGCAAATACAACAGCAAACTGGCAAGCGAAATGCCATACTGATGTTTTTATTCCGAACGATTAACTTTAAAAGCGCGTGCATGCGTCCAGCTCCACATTTCTTCCACTGACAGACGAGAGATTTACACACGAATGGTTCTGAGCTGGTGTAAACGCAATAACAAGCATCATAAACCAATATTCACGCTTTCAAATGTATAATATATCAATACATTAGGCTGAAATACATGCATCCACTTACCCCCTGAACTGGATCTCAATGCGAAGTTTGGCATAGATTTTCTATAGGGAAGCTAAATGTTTTCTCCGAAGTATGCTTTGAGATGTTTTTGTTTCCTTTTTTTGGTTTCTGTTGTCTTGTCTCGGTGCAGAATCCGTCTGAGACCTCAAACTGAGACTATCTGATAGTTCTGTATGTCGGTTAGGCTGTGCATTTCTCTAGTCTTTGTTGCACTCTTTGTGTTTGTGATGGACTTGCTGCTTTTGAGATGGGCGGGGCGTCGCATTACTGGCGTGTAAAGCATCCAATAGATGCGCCGCGGGGGCGTGGCTACCAGCCATGCTAAAATTATCCCGGATGTGTAAATAAATACAGTGCAATTGCATAGACTGAGAAAATGACTGATTTTGTCTTGCATTACGTCCTCAACAAAAGGAGAGCTGTATTCCTAATATATATATAAAATGTTTATACATACATATATATATATATATATATATATAAAAAAAAAAATAAAAAATAAAAAAAAAAATATATATATATATATATATATATATATATATATATATATATATATAAAAGAAAAAATTAAGCAGATTTAGTAGTGGAAGGAATCGGTTTAGTCCTCTAAATAACAATGTCTGTAGCAGGCATGGGCTGGCATTAGTTTCTGACGGTTAGATAAACTTGGATAAAATATCACGGTATCACTGTATCATCTAAAACAAGCTGTTTAAATATCTGGGTAAAAAAAAAAAACGTTTTCCCCCTCATTGAACCCAATACATTTTATTTTAGGAAACATGATATTTGGGTACTGTAAACATGCCAGGCTAAATTATTCAAATGAATCATTGACGTCTGCTATGTTCATTTGTTTCTAAAACACAGATTGCTTAACAACACAATAAAAACCCTTAAATATACCTTAGGAATGGTATAACATAAAATTTTAGCGGTTTGAAAACCTTTACTATTCCAAACCCGGGTAAACCTTGAAACCGGTTTTCATTTCATGTCTGGTCTGTAGTTATTATTATAATTAGCTACTTTCAGCCCTATCATGTCAGTGATTCCTACACCCACTAAGACAACATGGAAAACATGCAAATCATGTCAACACTTTAAGACAGGGTGATTACAAAGCAGCATTGGCTACTTAAAGGGATAGTTCACCCAAAAATGGAAATCTGCTGTTAGTATACTCATCCGTACTGGAAAGATTTTTTAGCTGAAACTGTAGACCGTGGTAATTGTTACAATGCAAGTCATAGGCTAAAAGCACTTTTAGAGTTAACAAAAAAAAACATATAAAGGCATAACAAAATTAATACATGTGGCTCCTGCTGATGCACCAAGCTCTTATGAAACTAAATGTTAAGTCTGTGAAAGTAACTGTACTTTATTTACAACATTATTACCTTTATTGACACATATAATGATATATGGAGGGACACTTTCTGTTTTCGTGATGGGAGAAATTAAGCTTTTTCATTCATTCAATCATTTTCTTTAGAGCTTAGTCCCTTTATTAATCCAGATTCGCCACAGTGGAATAAATCGCCAACTTATCCAGCATATGTTTTATGCAGTGGATGCCCTTCCAGCTGCAACCCTACACTAAAAAACACCCATACATACACACATTCAAACACATATACTACAGCTAATTTAGCATACCCAATTCACCTAGACCACATGTTTTTGGACAGTTGGGATAACCTAAGTACCCAGAGGAAACCCATGCGAGCACAGGGAGAACATGCAAACTTCTCACAGAAATGCCAACTAACCCAGCCAGGGCACGAACCAGGGACCTTCTTGCTATGAGGCGATTGTGCTACTCTCTGCACCGCCGCGCTGCCACCCTATAAATATTATTCAATGTATAAATTATTTATTTTGTTTTTTTATTTGTTTATTTTACTGTTATAATTTATTTATTTATTTATTTTTCGAAACATTTAAAACATCACATGCTAGAGACACCTGCTGGTCAAAAAAACGAGAATGTAACAAATACACAAGCAAAATATGGATTAAAATGGCAACAGTGAAAGTATAACCTTAGCTAATCATCTAATATCATTAAATATTAAGTGTCTGCATAATATGCATTTTTTTTATATTGTTGGTTCCATTGTGGCCTCTGCTAAACAGGACAATAAGAAACTGTTATCTAATGTTATTTCTTTTTGTTTTACAAATGTCTAGTTTTAAAACACCTCCAAACTCTACAATGTCTACAAACTGATTTGAGATCAGGTAAAAACTATCAAATCTATTCACCACTGGGGCGATCTGAGTATGCCCGCATGATACGTGTGGATTTGATAGCATTACACAGATCACCATTTACTTAAAAGAGTTATTGAGACAGTAATGAAATAATGAAGTTATTCAACCTCAAAGCCACTGATTCAATACCAAAGATTTATAAAGGTTTTGAAGCTTTACAAAGCAGTGCTTTGAACACAGTCATCACTTTTATATTTGCAACTTCTTTAAAGGTAGCAAGCAGGGACAGATTTGACCAATAAGGACGGTAAGTGGCCGCTTGGGGCACCATGACATCTGGGGGCCCCCAATAAATATCTAGAAGTGTAAATTATAGCTATAAACTATATATAACATCGTTTCTCTGTCATATTTTGTTTAGTGAGAGTCAAATAAATAACATTTTTATGTCATTAAATATTATTTAATAAACAATAAAACATAATATTATAATAATAATGTATGGATATGTAATTATAAAATAATAAAATAAAATACCCACTACCCCAATCCTGGAGTGGTCCAGCAGTCAAATTTATTTATACATATATTTATTCTTTTTAGTTGTAAAGTCATTTTAAGAAAACTAATCATTTAAAGTGTAGAGCTTGCATTAAGATAAAACATCAGAGAAAAAAAGACTGAGTGACATAAAAAAACAGCAAACTAAATAAAAATTAAATAAAAGTAGAGGAGTGCATTTCAGGACTTGGGCCCCATGGCTGAAGTTGCTTAGGGCCCCCAAATCACTAAATCCGCCCCTGGTAGCAAGATCCAGGATAAGCGCAAAATACTTTTTGACTATACAACACATGGATCTTTCTTCTTCATTGTAAATTAACATAAATAAATAAACAGCATTAGTCAAAGTTTGGGCCCTATGCTTTAAAGCATAAGTCTCTAATTCGATTCCTGGAGAGCCGCAGCTCTGCGCAGTTTTGCTCCAACCCTAATCAAACACAGCTGATCCAACTAATCAAGGTCTTCAAGACTACTAGAGTCTATTAAGCAGATGAGAGTTGGAGGTGGTTGGAGCTAAACTGTGCGGAGTGGCAGCCCACAAGGAATCGAGTTTGAGACCTATGCTTTAAAGGGATACCAGTAACCATTGACTTCAATAGTACGATAAAAACAAATACTACTGAAGTCAGTGGTTACAAGTTTCCAGCATTCTTCGAAAAATCTTAATTTGCGTTTTAACAGAAGAAATTAAATCAAACCAGTTTGAATGAGTGAAGTGTGAGAAAATAAATAATAATAATAAATAAATTAGGATTTTTGAGTGAACTATTTACAAAATTATGTCGAGTTTCTTTCACAAACGCAATGACTTTTTGACTATACAACAAACGCATCTTTCCTCTGTACACTGTAAATTAACATAAATAAATCAACAGCATTAGTTTAAGTTTGGGACCTATGCTTTAAAGCATTACTCTCAAATTCAATTCCTGGAGAGCCGCAGCTCTGCACAGTTTGGCTGCAACTATCTCCCACTTACACGTGCATAATACATACCTGCCAACACTGGGAGTCTCCCGTATTTCAGACCCATCTTCTTTAACCCTCTCACCCCCCCCCCCCCCTCCCTCCCCATACATCCCCTCACCCCCCAGTCTTTAGCATTTTGGTACAGTCTGTGTAACCCCCAGGTCGCCAACTTTGGTATAGTATGCAATCGCAGCTGCCGCCCCAAAAAACGCTTTATAGTACAGTTACTAACACCACAGTACACAGCACGCGATTCTCAACAGTGTTATTCAGACACCTCACCCCGAACCTAACCCCCCTGGTCTCCTGGATTTTCAGGGACAAGTATTGGCAGGTATGGCATAATAGTGTCTAGTAGTCTTGAACACCTTGATTACTAGTTGGATCAGCTGTGTTTGGTTGGAGCAAGACTGTGCAGAGTTGCGGCCCTCCAGGAATCGAGTTTGAGACCTATGCTTTAATAGGATACCTTTAACCATTGACTTCCACGGTACGAAAAACAAATACTACTGAAGTAAATGGTTACAGATTTCCAGCATTCTTCAAAATATCTTCATTCATGTTTTACAGAAGAAATGAAATCAAACAAGTTTGGAAAAAGTGAAGTGTGAGAAAATTATAATAAATGTAGATTTTTGAGTGAATTACGCACAAAATCATGTCGAGTTAATTCCACTGACTCTTTTGCCTTGTATTAGGCTATCAGCAGCCTCAGGTATTTATTTTATTTTACCTGTTTTCATTCTTTTTTCTATCAGATTACCAGTAGTTGACTAACCAAGCCCTGAAGGTGACTAAATTAGCAACAATTGCTCATTTCGGGGTGAACTGTCCCTTTAATAAAAGCTTTGGGGTTCATCTAAGGGTGGGTTTTCAAAGCCTGACAGCACTAAAGAAATGGCCCCATCTTTATGCGTCAGAGAGCATCTGCTACGCCTTATAAATAATAAGTGAAGAGTCTGCCCAAAATAAATGCTCACAAAAAAACAACCACCACCATATATTCAGCAACTGAGTACAACGGCAGAAGCAACGCACAACATTTAAACTTCCGTAGTTATTAGTGTCACTGTCATCGTAAATATATCGGCAGTATGTTGTTTAAAGATAAACAACCCGTTACCTTTTGGGCACAGAGAAACACACACGATGTTTCGACGACAAGCAATAGCGCTCAATAGTTTCAGAAGCGGCTCTAATTGATATTTTGCTGAAGTCTTCAGCTAAATAAGGCTGTCGCGTCGCCACCACTGTCCTGATGATGTCATATGTTTTCATTCTGCGTCCCATTTTATAACTCCGCGCCATGGTAACCCAGCTTTTCACGCTTAACACAGGGCAATAATAACAAAGCTCGCGTAAAATAAAACAAAATATTAAAGTCTCTGTGCTTGACAGCGTCGTGTTATTTTAGTTCGTGTATAATTTAAAAACACAGGACTCCAATGTGACCTTCGCTGAGGCACATCGGATGCTAGAGCTCTTAAAGCAACTCACGCGTTAATC